CATGGGCAGTTCAAACACACATGTCCAATTCAGACACACATGTGTGTACACGTGGAACACACATACGTATACGACTGAAACAGTATACATTCACCTGCGGCACACGCATAAATGTGTTGAGCTGGAAAACAAACATGTGCTTCTTGGAAAGCACACACACACATGTGCAAACGTGGAACGCACATATGTGTTCACTTACGACACGCTAATGCGTTCACGTGGAACACACATGTGTGTTCACTTGGAACACAATGAAACGCGTGTCCAATTCAGACACACATGTGTGTACACGTGGAACACACATGCGTTCACCTGGAACACAAAGACGCGCAATTAAAGCACACATGTGTGTACGCGTGGGACACACATATGTATACCACTGGAACACAAACATGTGTCCACCTGGAACACCGCGTGTGCGATTAAAGCACACATGTGTGTACATGTGGAACACACATATGCGCACACGTGAGCAAACATAAATGCTCACCTAAATCGCACACACATGCGCGCACCTCGAAAACAATCATGCGTTTTCTGGAGCGCATACATGTGCACACCTGGAGAGCAAATATGTCGTCAGATGCCAAAAAAAGTTCACCTAGCACATACTAATGTGTTCACGTGAAACACACATCTGTTCACCTGGAACACAAACACGTGTCCAATTGGAACACACATGTGCGTACACGTGGAACACACATATGTGCACACGTGAACACGCATATGTGCACACGTGAACACTCACATATATGTGCACCCGGAACACACACCCGTGTGCTCATCTGATAACAACCATGTGTTCTCCTGGAACACAAACACGTGTCCAATTGGAACACGCATGTGTGTACACGTGAACACACATATGTGTACACGTGGGAGACGCAAATGCGCACACGTGAACACACACACATGTGCACACGTGGAACACACACATGTGTACTGCACATGTGAACACACACATTTATGCGCGCGCGGAAAACACAGACACATACGAGTGTTCATCTGATAACAAACACGTGGTCTCCTGGAACACAACCGTGTGTCTAATTGGAACACAACCGTGTGTATACGTGAACACACATATGTGTACATGTGAACACACACATATTTATATATATATATGCGCACCCGGAACACACACACACGTGCGTTCATCTGAAAACAAAGATGTATTCACCTGAAACACAAACACGTGTCCAATTGGAACAAACATGTGTGGACACATGAACTCACAAATGTGTACATGTGGAACACACATATGTGTGCAAATGAACACACATACATGCGCACGCGGAGCAGACACACACACACACACACACTGATAACAAACATGTGTCCTCCTGGAACACAAACACGTGTCCACGCGGAGCAGACACACACACACACACGCGTTCATCTGATAACAAACATGTGTTTTCCTGGAACACAACCGTGTGTCTAATTGGAACACAGACGTGTGTACACGTGAACACACATATGTGTACACGTGACACACATGTGCACACGTGCAACACACACATGTGTACTGCACATGTGAACACACACATTTATGCGCGCGCGGAAAACACAGACACACACGAGTGTTCATCTGATAACAAACACGTGTTCTCCTGGAACACAACCGTGTGTCTAATTGGAACACAGACGTGTGTACACGTGAACACACATATGTGTACACGTGAACACAGCACACGTGGAACACACACATGTGTACTGCACATGTGAACACACACATTTATGCGCGCGCGAAAAACACAGACACACACGAGTGTTCATCTGATAACAAACACGTGTTCTCCTGGAACACAACCGTGTGTCTAATTGGAACACAGACGTGTGTACACGTGAACACACATATGTGTACACGTGAACACACACACATATATATGCGCACCCGGAACACACACACACGTGCGTTCATCTGAAAACAAACATGTATTCACCTGAAACACAAACACGTGTCCAATTGGAACACACATGTGTGGACACGTGAACACACAAATGTGTGCACGTGGAACACACATATGTGTGCAAATGAACACACACACATGCGCATGCGGAGCAGACACACACACACACGTGTTCATCTGATAACAAACATGTGTCCTCCTGGAACACAAACACGTGTCCAGTTGGAACGCACATGTGCGCACGCGTGAACACACAATGTGTGCACGTGAACACACATACAAAAAAAGTGCACGCGGAGCAGACACACACGCACGTGTTCATCTGATAACAAACATGTGTTCTCCTGGAACACATACACGTGTCTGATAAGAACACACATGTGTGTACACGTGAACACACATATGTGTACACGTGCAACACGCATATGTGCGCACGTGAACGCACATATGTGTACATGTGGAACACACATATGTGCACACGCGAACACACACACACACACATATATATATATATATATATGCGCGCCCGGAACACGCACACACACACATGCGTACACCTGGAACACATATGTGTGTATGTCTGGAAA